TATTGATTAGCTCATAGTAACAGGTGAAAATAATGATAAATAAAAGTAATTGGTCCATGAATGCAAACATCTTTATTAGTAAAAATATATTCCATTGGCTTGATATATAGAAAAATGTTGGATGTACTTTCTTGTCTATTTCTTCTTTTTACAGGTTAGTACCTGAGATCCTATTTTCAGAGAACAAAAAGCAACGATGGAGACTACGTTCTATGGTCAATTTTTTGGCAGAGAAAAGCAGCGACCTTTCTATTATGGAGCCTTTCCTCTTCTGCGCAGTCGAGATGGATCCTTATTTTCATGAGCAGCATCGTTTACTCGCTTATCATTCATCAGCAGACGGCAAAGATATTAAAGCATCTCGAACATCTGCTTTAACGTATAGAAGCAAGCAAAGGCATATAAATCTTCGTGGATGGTTACATGAAAGGATTACAAGGGATCCTAAACTTGGGAAAATGGAAAATCCACACTTAGTATGCATTCGCTTCATACATGGCCCTTATTATAATCGTCCGATAAAGCCTTGTTGTGAGTTCTGCTCCAAAGGCAGAAGAATATATCATCGTCCAATTCCTGGATCGCAAAAGGCTTCATATTCTGAAGAGATAAAAGCAAGCTCGGACGATATGCAGAGTGATTTTGTGGACTTTCCTGAAGATGCAACAATTAAGCATGAACTTCCCAGTAAATTTAATCTGGAGCCTGATGAGATTAACCATCTTTGTAAGTCCTTGACCATCAGCAAAGCGAATATAAACGCGCCAAATTTGTATGACAGTCGACCTATCATTCATGTAGCAACATCTCAGGACGATACTACAGAGGTTATCAAAGATGATGCTTTAGATGAGTTTTCTGATTGGGTAATAATTGATTGTGTACAGAAGAAAGATGAGCTATTGTGAAATAATGAGGTTATGACCTTATCATATGAATCTTGTATGGGCAAATTTGGCTTTTGCGGTCTTCATGTCATTGAATAAAAATTGGTCCTCGAAATAGCTTCTTTTTGTTAGAGGCAAAATGTACAGCATTTGCCTTTTAAAAAGATCGAATGTCTCGTCATGTTTTAAGCCAAATTAAAGTTTTCTACACGTACTTTATTGCATAAGGTTAATTGAAAAGGACATTTCAAATTGGCCTGCAACAACTTTCCTATTACTGATCTATTTTATTTGTATCCGTATACTTCGCCGCCGCGTCTATCCTGTTTCTATCTCTAATACCAAGTCTATGAATTCCTATGCCCTAGTCTCTTGTGTGCCAACCCACAAACGTTGTGGTTCAACATTGAACCTAGTCAAAGCAAGCAGTACTACAACATTTTTGGGTTAACACACAAGAGACTAGAGCATCGGAAGTCATAGAATTGGTATTAGAGATAGAAACAGGATAGACGTGGTGACCATGGCAGCTAGTGAGGTGACAGTAGGTTTTATAAGAGACGTGGTCCATGTAGCAAGGGCCTGACCATGAGACTCACTCAGAGACTTGAGCCTGAATTAGTCTCCAAGACGCAGGGGGGGCGAATAACGCCTTGTGTGGCACAGATGGGGTAGCAGGGGTCGAGTGAAATATTTGAACCAGAAGAAGGCAGAGGGATCTTACGGGGCAAGAGAGAGACTGGGGTAATACCTAGAGAACGAGGACAGCGTGACAATATGGCAGACTCTGATCGACATTCCCAGCACAAGGATAAAGGGGGGTGAGAAAGCAAGCGTGGAGTGCGGAGGGTTCCCATGTATGCCGCTCAGAAGGGCACACCGTACCACATTAAATTAAGCAAGTAAAAAAAATTATGACAGTGAAGGCTTGATAGGAGGATATAGGAAATGTGAATAGGCCAGGGCATAAGGGGAGATACCACAAATGTTTAGCACACGTCTGGTCAAAGGATCGGCTAAACTTGTCTCTTTGACGAGTTGTAATATGGTTTTACGACTGGCAAAACTCAATCACGATGCCAACTACGATGCCGGCGAAGCGTCTGGAAATGTACCACGTTCACGTTTCGACTTTGGCAATGATTATACATACAATGGACTCCGCATAGGGTGCATTTATCTAAGTCTTCCTAACAATATGACCAATTTGCGAAAACCAGGTCAAATCATATTTTTTTATTTGTTTCACAGTAAGATAGGTTTTCTATTATGCCAGATTTCGATGCGTATATTTCCAAGTTTGACAGTTATAAGAATTATCGAATATAAACGTTACGTTTCTTTGTGGAATATCCAGGTGCGTGCTTTAAAATATGATCTTTCTCGAAATTGTGCGCATATATCGTTGAAACTTGTCTCAATTTATCTATTTTTTTCATATTTAAGTAGAGTTTCGAGTTAACCAGTGCATCAGTATTCTGAGATATATTCACCCAATTTCGGTTAAGGTGATGCAGGACTGGTAGTAGAATTTTCCTACTTATAACATATTTATATTCCATTTTGTTAAGTTACCTTATTGTTTTTTAGCACATTTGCGATGGGATCTGGCTTAGGAACACTTTTTGAGGAGGCAATACTAACTCGTAAATAGTATCTTAGATACATGGATGACTATTTTACAATCTGGCCGAATGGTAAGGTAGTTTAGATAGTTTTATACATTCACTTAATGACCCTGAAAGGAAGATTAGGCTTATAATGAAAATATAAATGAATAGGTCTTTACCATTTTTTGAAGTTCTGATTAATAGCGAATAGGGTAATTTAGGAACAGATGTTTATAGTTAACCAACATAGGCCTGTCATTTTCTGAATTTTCTGAAACAATAAGGAGATAGTTGAACTTAGTACTAAGTTTTCTAGCAAAAATAAAGTCATTTACTTATCCAGTATACCTATAGATTATAATTTTACGCTCGTCTTGGAAAGAGGTTTAAACTTTGCATTACCAAATGAGCAAAATAATTCTATGGATATACTGGTTGAGTTAATTAACTTAACGGATAAGCTGCCAGAAGAGGCAAGAATAGTATAGGAAGAGAAGTGATTCCCCATTTTGATGTAGTTATTCCAAAGAAATCGTATGATTTGAATAATTTTTCTAGATATGTGCACCAAAATGATCTGTTTGTTTTAAAGGCAGATAAAGGTGGTGCAGTGGTCATCATGGATAGGTTAAG